AACAACGTCCAGTATTGGGCCCCTACTTAACCCTTTCAGGGTCCAAGGCCCAAATCTGGAGTCACGCACCAGTGTCCAAGAATTTTCAAAAAAAAAATTTGTTATTTTTTCTTATGAAATCGTAGAGAATCTTTTTGTGAAGGTAATAAAACAAAAAGTACGAAATTTGGTGGAAAATTGACGAAATTATGCTCTCGCGAATTTTGATGTGTCAGCGATATTTACGAATCGGCGATTTTGCCGACTTTGACTCCCATTTTAGGCCAATTACATTATTCCAATCAACCAAATTCTTAGCTATTTCACTAGTATTACTTCTATTCTATCGATTGAGCACAAGAAATCGCCAAGTCAACTGTTTCGACTACAAAATAAAGTGATCGGAAATTGTTAATTTGGCCAATTTAACACAAAGTTCAAAATATTCCAATTTCAAAATAGGGTCCAGAATGAACAATGTAGGCATTCCTGGCACTAAACTAACATTTCCTCTGTTCATTAGTTATGTTTTGAGGCTTTACAAATAAATTCCATTTTGATTTTTTATTCACATAATGAATTTTTATTCACACCAGAAAATAGAAGATTTACTGTTATGCAATACTGTAATAATTGTATAAATATCATCACCATATTTGTGAATGTATATTAGACCCACCAGCTGACGTGTATTAGACGTGTGAGGTCGTTTGTTTACTCTTGAATATCGGCAAAAATTTAACATTTCTGCTACTTTGAGCTCAGTTTCAAGCCATTTCCAGTGCTAAAACCAATCAAAATCATCTCTATTTCTGTAATATGTCTTCCATTCTATCAAATGAGACCAAGAAATCGCAAATACAACTATAAAAAACATACGAAAAAACACTGCAAAGTTGTTGTTTTAATCGAAAAATCATGATTTCATTTTTTTTCTCTCATTATACACAGTGTGCTGCAGGATCTGTTTTATGTGGTGCACACATACCACATAGATGTATTCTCTCATATCTAGGCCCAAATGTACTACTCACAGTTTATCAGAGTGAGCTGAGCTCATGGCATAGATCTACTGTTTGGACCCTGAACGTAAAGCCGTAGATCTACGGGACGGACCCTGAAAGGGTTAAACAAGATGGGTCCTACACAGATGACAGCAAGGAAATGAGTGAGCTACTCAAACTGCTAACCAGACTGAGAGTCGAAGATCAAAATGAATTTTTTATGAGAGAGCCACAAAATTTTGTTAACACAAGCCTATCTGATGTTATCCTGACGCCAAATGACTTCGAACAGGCGATAAAGGATATGCCCATGCACTCTGCCCCAGGGCCAGACTCATGGAACTCAGTGTTCATCAAGAACTGCAAGAAGCCCCTATCACGAGCTTTTACCATTCTATGGAGAGGGAGCATGGACACGGAGGTCGTCCCACAGCTACTAAAAACAACAGACATAGCCCCACTCCACAAAGGGGGCAGTAAAGCAATAGCAAAGAACTACAGACCGATAGCACTAACATCCCATATCATAAAAATCTTTGAAAGGGTCCTAAGAAGCAAGATCTCCACCCATCTAGAAACCCATCAATTACACAACCCAGGGCAACATGGGTTTAAAGCAGGTCACTCCTGTCTGTCTCGACTATTGGATCACTACGACAAGGTCCTAGATGCACTAGAAGACAAAAAGAATGCAAATGTAATATATACAGACTTTGCAAAAGCCTTCGACAAGTGTGACCATGGCGTAATAGCACACAAAATGCGTGCTAAAGGAATAACAGGAAATGTTGGTAGATCGATCTATAATTTCCTCACAAACAGAACACAAAGGTAGTAGTCAACAGAGTAAAGTCCGAGGTGGCTACGGTGAAAAGTTCTGTTCCACAAGGCACAGTACTCACTCCCATCTTGTTTCTCATCCTCATATCTGACATAGACAAGGATGTCAGCCACAGCACCGTGTCTTCCTTTGCAGATGACACCCGAATCTACATGACAGTCTTCCATTGCAGACACTGCAAGGCTCCAGGCGGACATCAACCAAATCTTTCAATGGGCTGCAGAAAACAATATGAAGTTCAACGATGAGAAATTTCAATTTCTCCGATATGGTAAACACAAGGAAATTAAAACTTCATCAGAGTACAAAACAAATTCCGGCCACAAAATAGAGCGAGAAACCAACGTCAAAGACCTGGGAGTGATCATGTCGGAGGATCTCACCTTCAAGGACCATAACATTATATCAGTCACAGCTGCTAGAAAAATGACAGGATGGATAATGAGAACCTTCAAAACTAGGGATGCCAAGCCCATGATGACACTCTTCAGGTCGCTTGTTCTATCTAGGCTGGAATATTGCTGCACACTAACAGCACCTTTCAAGGCAGGTGAAATTGCTGACCTAGAAAATGTGCAAAGAACCTTCACAGCGCACATAACGGAGATAAAACACCTCAATTACTGGGAGCACTTAAAGCTCCTGAACCTGTATTCCCTGGAACACAGGCGGGAGAGATAAATGATTATATACACCTGGAAAATCCTAGAGGGACTAGTACCGAACTTGCACACGAAAATCACTCACAACGTAAGCAAAAGACTTGGCAGACGATGCAACATCCCCCTAATGAAAAGCAGGGGTGTCACTAGCACGTTAAGAGACAATACATTAAGTGTCAGGGGCCCGAGACTGTTCAACTGCCTCCCAGCATACATAAGGGGGATTACCGATAGACCCCTGGCAGTCTTCAAGCTGACACTGGACAAGCACCTAAAGTCGGTACATGACCAGTCGGGCTGTGGCTCATACGTTGGATTGTGTGCAGCCAGCAGTAACAGCCTGGTTGATCAGGCTCTGATCCACCAGGAGGCCTGGTCACAGCCCGGACCGCGGGGGCGTTGAGCCCCGGAACTCTCTCCAGGTAAACTGACACTTCCATCTGTGTTAGAACTATCACTTGGGAAGAGAAGAGTCCCAATTTGCCAAGGAGTTAGGTTTTATTTACCGCTAGGCATGGTGAACAAGGCGCATTGAATTGGCACTCCCACAATGCGCTGTGGCCTCCCAGATTTTTTTTTATACTGTGCAAACTGAGCACAGAGACCCATTCTCTGACATGTAGGTGTACCAGCTCTCCCACTAGATTTGAAGCTGCTAGAATTTTGGCATAATATTATGGCACCAACACTGGCTTGCAAGTCGTAATGTTATGGCACCGACAGTGAAAGGGTTAATAATGTAGAGTGGTTGGTTGTTAAAATTCTGAACTATAATTTCAAATTTTCATTTTCTAGTTATTACAGTGATGTACATTTTTTCAGATTTCAGTTTTTTTTAAAGATTTAAATAAACATTATTATGAGTGTTAGAAGTTATAATTTCATGTTGTATAAATAGCAACTATTCAGACTTAATTTTTAATTTATTTCTGATTATTTTCATCAGATTAGCAAATATGTAGCTTAAGAATTTTGTGTTATTGTTGCCAGTTTGTAAATTTCGTAGGGGTACCTGTAATTATTAGCAAGTAATGATATAAGCATCTCAGAAATTGTTACTTAAGCTGTTCACTATCTCATATGTAGATGTATATTTTGAGAGCTGCTCCCTAAGATATGCTGTGAGCAGAAAATTTTTCCCTATATATGAGAGAATGAGTCTGTTTAATAAGTGTGCACACCATAAAACCTCTGACCTTGTTTGGTTTAAAATAATGACTAAGGTGTTATCTAGGATGTTTTTTATGGGTTTTATTGTCTGTTTCTTAGTTTCATTTGATAGAATGGTAGACATACTACCAGAGAAGAGAGGATTTTGGTTGGTTCCAGGATCGGGATACGAACAGCTCAAAACTTGAACAGTTATCTAGGTGTAAGTGTATTTTTGGGGGTCTGAAATGGATTAATCTAATTGACATTATTTCTCATGGGAACAAATTCGTTCAGTATCGCCACTCGAACATCCTTCTGGAATGAATTAAATTTGTATCCTGAGGTACCACTGTAGTTTGAAATTGGGCTCAAATTAGTGGAAACATTTAATTTTTAACAATTATCTTTGACTGGTAGGGTCCTTTACACCCCTAGGTATTGTTTATGGATTTTTACTAGGTTTACTTTAATTACAGGGATGCCCTAAATCTGACAAATTATTCCTGGTTGCATTTTATTATCCAAGAAATAGGGTTAAACTTCATTTTTTTTTTATGATGAATTCAAGAAAGAGGGCAAGTAGGAGAGGCTGGAGGATGTGATTAATGAACACAGGAAGAGTTGCTTTAGTAAATATAATGCCTGCAGTGTTTATTATAGACTTTTTTAAAATGAATTTCTTTTAATTGTATAAAATTGGCCAAATTACCAAATTCTGTGCACTTTTTAGAAGTAGATAAGAATTTGGTCGAATGAGCAATGTAACTGGCTTAAAATACTGTACATGCATATACAGTATAGCCTTGGAAAGTGTTTAATATTTACAACTGCATTAACCCATCCCTTCAAGGGAGGTTCTTTGATGCCTGTGAGGGGCTCTTGATCCAAGGAATTGGACCTCAGTCCTCCTCAGATCAAACCTCATTACCTCACATTCCCCCCCAGGCACTGTGTGATCCCTGTGAATCTAGTAGTTCCCCATGAATATAATAATACTCTAAACTTTACATATTATTTACCATAAATTATTCATTTTAAAAATAAAATAGTAACTTTTTGAAACTTGCATGCAAGAAATGGGTTAAGAGTTAACATACCACCTGAAGCTAGATTAGTTTAGCTGACTATAAATAAAACGATATGTCATTTAATATTTTACAACCAAAAGTTTGTTTCTTGTTTTGAGAGCTATTATACTCTGTAATCAATATGTTTTTGTGCATGCATCATATCTGTTGCTTAAGTCATGACATTTCAATTTATATCCTAGCCACTACTTCTGAAAGATGGCAAAGAATTTTTCTCTGTATAAAAAAAATAGGAAGTGTTATCAATTTCACCACTTAAATTATTTTCCAACAGATTCCGCAAGAAATGGTGTCAATTAATGATGCCCTCCTTGTGAGATTCCGTTCTGATGACACGATAAACACAAAGGGTTTTTCTGCTGCCTACGTTGCAATAGCAAAAGAAAGTTTGACAGAAAATAGCACTGGTGATAATAATAGTTTCAGCTACAGCTTCTCCAGAGGGTACCTTCAACTTTGATATACCTTTGAAGAGTTTCGAGAGTTTCACTACTCTCGGAGCCCGGCCATGGACCAGGCTCATCTGGTGCTTGCCTGGTCAACCAAGCTGTTGCTGTTGGAGGCCTGCTGCCCCACATATCCATCACAGCCTGGTTGATCTGGTACCTGGTGAAGATACTTGTCCAGTTTCCTCTTGAAGGCTTCTACACTTGTTCCAGCCATGTTTCTGATATCTTCTGGTAAGATGTTGAATAGTCTGGGACCCCAAATGTTGAGAGTGTTCCCCTATTGTTCCCACTGCACCCCTGTTCTTCACTGGGTTTATTTTGCACTTCCTCCCATATCTCTTACTCCAGTATGTTGTTATGGCAGTATGCAGATTTGGGACCAGGCCCTCGAGTACTTTCAGGTATATATTATCATGTATCTCTTTCTCCTCTGCTCCAATGAGTACACGTTCTTTACTGGCGAATGTGAGCCGTAATGATCTCTGTATTTGTTGCAGCTCTGATATTTCTCCTGCTTTAAACAGTGCCATCAGCACTGAGCAATATTCTAAATGAGGGAGCACTAGCGATTTGAAGAGTGTCACCACTGACATTATTTTCCTTGTTTTGAAAGTTCTCACTACCCACCCCATCATCCTCCTGGCTGTTGTGATCAAAGCCAAACTTCTCCAGAGGGTACCAGCAAGTCAAGCTTTTCCAGAGGGTACCAGCAAAGTCAAGCTTTTCCAGAGGGTACCAGCAAAGTCAAGCTTTTCCAGAGGGTACCAGCAAAGACAAGCCTCTCCAAAAGGGTACTTGCAATGTCTTAAGTTTTTGCAGAGAGTACTAGCAGTCAGGCTTCTCCAGAGGGTATTAGCAATGTCTTAATCTACAACATGATCAACAGTTATGTGCCTCAACTTCACATTCCCATATGCTTGCTTTCTTGTTCAAACTGTTGCCAGTAAGCTTCTTTAAGTGCTGTAAATGGGCTCTAGATGATTTTTAACAAGCGCATTCCTTCAAATGCAAACTCGAGTAAGACGTACTTGAGTTTGGATTTACCTTCATTGAACTTTGAGGAGCTGTGGCCATAATAATGAATATGTTGCATGATACAAATAATCATAATTCTGTCTCTGTTCTCTCTCTCACTTTTCTTCCTCTTACTATCACTTTTCTCTTTCTCCCTTTTTTTCTTTTTTCTCTGTCCTTCCATAATTGTATAAACCTTGGACAACACCTGGATGGTTGTCACTTCTCAGTTTGATGTTTATAGTGTGTAGATAAGCAACAATAGTTTATTACTGTGTATAATACTGCATTATGTTCTTAATGATGCCGATACAGTGAATGGCTGTGTCACATTTGTAGTCACATATGTTTGAGGTTTGGGTGCAAGTACCTCATCGTGAGTACTTACTAAGAGACGCTTCTTCTCATATACCTTTAGTCAAACCTTATTTTATTTAATGGGGATTTAGTTCTGTATCCTGTTATCAGTTTCAGACTGTACTTGTTAATGTGTATTAAATTTAAAAATCACCTTTGTCTCACCTGACTTGAAGATAAAAATTTATTTAAATACAGAATATTAATTGTTGAAATACAAACTAGGTTATTCAGAAAAGGTTTGACATGTTAAGCTGATTATTGCAGCAGGTATGATTTTAGAATGTAAAGTACCCTTCACTTCTATTATTCCTCTGTTACATAGCCAGTAAATTAAAGATATCCAAGCCAGCAAACATGTACAAAGAAATTTCCAAAACTCAAGAATTATATTTAGTAACTGAGCAGAGAAATCAATTGAAAGTATCACATCTGATGGGTGTTCCAAAAATTTATGTGGTAGATCCCTGACTTACGATGTTCCAGTGTAATATGTTCTGTATTTACGATCAGGTCACTTTGGAACCGATGAATGAACTATGACTGCTGATCTGCAGTTACTGTCTTTGTAAGTATTAAAAAATATTTTAAATAAGTCATTTTTCTTATTTTTTCACCAAATGAATTCATATGCATAGTATCCATTCATTTTATGTATTATAGAGAGCTAACATTCATTTAGTAGACACTGGTCAAGAAATGTAGATTTAATATTTACAAATTTCTTAAGATTGAACTAAAATAGTTTTCACCATTATTATTTTACAAAATGCATTGATATTTTGAATGTTCTTTTTATGTATGTGTGGAGAGTTCATGTTTGTTAGAGATTAAAAAATGTAAATTAAGTAATTATGCTGTACTGTTGGGCTGTGATAGCCACTGCCAGTACTGCCCAATTACTGGATGTGTCCTTTGAGTAAGGTGCAGGACAGCTGGAACTCGTGCAACACCTTTACTCGCCATTATCTTCCCATGCTCTATACCCAGGTGCATGAACCCTCGCCATAACAATAAAGAAATGATAAGCATGGGTAGAGTGTGAGTAAGATACAATGAAGAGAAAGGTTGGCAGTGAATACACGAGTGAGAAACAGAGGGAGACAATCCAGCTATTGCCCCACCTTTGTACATCTATTCTTTTGTATATTGTAGTTTTATTCTGTTTAATTAGCAGGTATAAGTAAATTAAACAGTGTTTGATATTATTTGTAAGTGTAAAAGATCAGTACTGATTTTAAAATATTGCCTCAATATTCTTAGAAAAATAAATGAAAGTACATACAGAATAATATAATGAAATGGGAATTCATCTCTAATTTTAACATGAGTGTCTTTGGAAAGAAAGGTTCCAAGTTCCCAACAATTATCTTTGGATAAATTTTTCAGGGATGCATAGAAGTCGTAAGTAGGGGACCCACTTTAGTCAGATGCAGGAAATACTGTCAAGCTCTTACGTGTATTTGTGAAAGAATACCACAAACAGTGCAAAGAATTGTGCAATGATTAGTTATAAAACAACAGTAGACCCTTGAATAAGACAGTACGGTATCTTACACAAAACACATGTTAAGTAAATTGAAGAACATGTAGGAAAAATAAGGTTACGTTTCTGGGAACTCCAGAAATGGCAAACATTTTTCTAAATTCTTTGTCAAAAATAATGAAGTTTTTGACACATTACATTTTAGATATTGTTTGCCTGTTGATCTAGAAATATATGCACTCAAATCCTGTGTAAAAACTTGGTTACCAAATACTCACTTATTGATCCCTGGGGAAAGCTGATGTTTGATGCATATACTGTCTATACCTTTCAGTGAAAATGGGCATGGCATTCCGTCCAGAGAAAAATGGAAAAGGTTAATAAGCTGCCTCGTATTATAAATATACAATTTTATCATATTTACATATTTTATGTAGTTGAATGTCGATTAACATGGTAGTTACATTCCTGAAAATGGCATCTTATTAAGAAATAATTTAAAATGAACTGAACTGGTGAACATTTAGGAAAAATAAGGTTATGTTCATTAGATCTCCACAAAAAAGCCAACCAATTTTTGTTCTTAAAGCTTAGTAATTTGTCGAACTCAAAAATAAGTTTTCTATTCACTATCTTACAGTTATCAGTGCTTGTTAATATGGAAATGTGTGAGGAGGGTTCTGTCCTTGTACATTATCTGTGCAAACATATGACAAGCAGTCCTAAAACTATTACCTGTCACAACTATTACCAAAACCGCAATCGCCTGCAAACATAAGAAAAAATTACCATGTATTACCAGCCATAAGACAAGATTTTCATTAAAATAAATATGCTCGGATTAATACCCACCATAATGTGGATGTGAGCTATCCCCTCCAAAACAAAAATTTGAAAAAAATTATAAATTAATGAGAAAACCTCAGGTTATCAGCAAGTCCAATTGTTATTGTTGGGTTTAAAGTTGTGACGGCCCAAGGGTCGTTGTGTCCATCTCACCACTGTGAAATTAACTATCAGAATGCTTTTGTAAACATAAACTATTTAATACATATTAATAAATTTATTACAATAAAAAATACAATAAAATTATCATTTCCCTTGCATTTTCAGTAATAGAAATACTAATAAGTAGCAGAGGATATTGAAGGTTCATGCCATGGTGGCTCTTTTCCACCAACCCATCTTCCCATCACTTGTTTGTTCATCACAAAATACAAGTGTACGAACTAAACTGATGAACAAATGTATTTAAAGTAGGTACTGTATACACATTACATCCAGGTTCCTTTCATTTTTAACCACTATTATGCAAAGGAAGATAAGCAGAGAGTATATAAACACTGATGGGAGTCACTCTTATGTTGAAGTCATTTCTTCTTCCTTTCAACACACCGGCCATATTCCACCAAGGCGGGGTGGCCCAAAAGGAAAAACGAAAGTTTCTCCTTTTACATTTAGTAATACAGTGGACCCCTGGTTAACGATATTTTTTCACTCCAGAAGTATGTTCAGGTGCCAGTACTGACCGAATTTGTTCCCATAAGGAATATTGTGAAGTAGATTAGTCCATTTCACACCCCCAAACATACACGTACAAACGCACTTACATAACTTACATAATTGGTCGCATTCGGAGGTGATCGTTATGCGGGGGTCCACTGTATATACAGGAGAAGGGGTTACTAGCCCCTTGCTCCCGGCATTTTAATCGCCTCTTACAACACGCATGGTATATGTAGTATACACAAGGTACTGCACTCACACTATATTTTATTTCCTTTCACTGTAACACTCATTATTCAAATAGAAGGCAGCAAGGGGGATATAAATCTTAGAGTATCTTTTAATTTCTATAAAAACATTGTCTTTAGGATTCTCACATTTTAGCACAGAGGATATGAAAACATTGCATGTACTGATATGTAGAAAACAACTAATATAATCACATTAGTTGGTTTTCCTGGTGGTTTTTCCTGGTGGTGGTGATAACAATTTATAAATGGTGTATACTGTGGTGGCGCTCTGAACTTGAAACACTTTTTTCATGGCAATGTCACAAGATTATTCTTTCATTTTTTGTTTACTTTTCACACTTTAATATCAACCACTGACGCATTCAGTATTTGTCTAAATACAGCTAAGGTAAGTGAATAACTTAATGACACAGTAATGTGTAGTTTGTGAAATTATCAGTTACTAGTCTTCTTATATGGACTCTTGAGCGAAAACATCCTGAGAGATGGCGTCTTATGGATAATAGTGACGAGGAGGAATTTTATCCTTCTTCAAATTCCTTGTTCTGCTGCTACTTCTTTCTTCTTTCAACAAACCGGCCGTATCCCACCAAGGCAGGGTGGCCCAAAAAGAGAAACAAAAGCTTCTCTTTTTAAATTTAGTACCTTATACAGGAGAAGGGGTTACTAGCCCCTTGTTCCCGGCATTTTAGTTGCCTCTTACAACACGCATGGCTTACGGAGGAAGAATTCTGTTCCACTTCCCCATGGAGATAAGAGGAAATAAACAAGAACAAGAACTAGAAAGAAAATAGAAGAAAACCCAGAGGGTGTGTATGTAAATGTTTTTACATGTATGTGTGGTGTGACCTAAGTGTAAGTAGAAGTAGCAAGACGTACCTGAAACCTTGCATGTTTGAGACAAAAATGGACACCAGCAATCCTACCATCATGTAAAACAACTACAGGCTTTCGTTCTGCTACTTGTTGGTACAAAAAAAGAAAAGTTAGGAAATGGTTATTTGGCTACTGAGCAGTAGACAGCTGTGAGTCTGATGGCTGTAGGTCAGTGTGTTAAGAGGTCCACTACAGCATATACCATATTGAGCCACCGTCAACATACAGCTTTCCCCAGGCCACTTAAACCTCTGATAAGTTGTGCCCAAGCTACTGTTTTAATGTTTCATGGCCTTAAAGTTTTTTATAGTTTCTTTACTCTGTTATTACAGAAACTTGCTATTCAACCTCTAACACTATTGCAATTTAAAAAAAAAAAAATAATTGGAGGTGATGACACCAGAAATGCAAAATTTGATGGAAACTTTTAGTTATGCAAATGCAAAGTTGCCAGTTGGCCCAGTTTGAGCACCAGCAATTTTACTGACTGAGTCCCAGTTCTCATTCGAACCAGTTTCTAGCTCTTAAATTATTATTCATTCCGTTCTATTGATTGGGCACAAGAACCCCCCCCCCCCATTCAACTATTAGAACTACTCTCTTATGTTCACAGAAGTTGGTAGTTTGGCCAATTTTACACAATTTAAAAAGTCCCAAATAAATACTGTAGACATTCCAGACACTAGAACAACCTTTACTCTCATTGTTAACCACATCCCCAGGCCTCTTCTGTATAACACTTGCCCTCCATTTTGAATCCACAAAAAAAATCAGTTTTAGCCTATTTCTCAGATTATTAATAAAATATAATCAAGAATAATTGGCCATGGTTTGGGCCATCCCAATAATCAAAGCAGACCTAGTAAAAGACCTTAAAAAAAAAAAAGACCTGGAAGGCCAGGGAGGACATTACCCATCCTCAAGTAAAAAGCAAAAAATTAAATATTTCTGCCATATTAATTTGTTGTGCAGCATTTCTAGTAAACACGGTTTTCTGCTAGCTCCGTGGATGTTTGGGGCAATGAGCAGCCAGACTGCTGCATGGTCAGCTGTTCATGATTTAATTTCATACAGGGGTATTCCATTCTCAGACTATTTTGTAAAAACTCTATGCACATAAAGGGCCCTAAAATATGAAATTCATTACTAGAATATATTAAAGTAACCCAGTCTGAAAATCAGTTTAAGACTCTTCTCAAAAGCCACTTAATCACCCTAGACAAAACGCTAAATACTCAGTACACACATACTCGCCTATGTACTCCCACATCATAACTTCAACAATCAATTTGAACCTTTTATCCATTGTTGACAGGAATATAATTGAACCATTGTTTTCACAAAAAGCATTTTAGACTATATGAATGTATCCTTTGTCTTATACAAATTTAATTCACTAATAATTAATAATCTACTGTTCAGCTATGAAATCATTACTGTCCTACTGTACAACTATGATAAAATCCTTAGTGTTAAGTAGTCTGTAAGATGATAATGTTAAGTTGGCCCATAATGCCTAGGCATAATAGAGGCTCTCTTTGCATTGCAGCCCATTATTGTAAATATAAAATCTCAATGTACTGTTTGCAAAGACATAAAATAAATAAGTGGGCGAGATGTTATCAACAAATTTTGTTGAAAATAAGAAAAAGTTTTGGAGTGAGATTAACAAGTTAAGGATGCCTAGAGAACAAATGGTTTTGTCAGTTAAAACTAGGACAGGAGAGTTATTAAATGGAGAATTAGAGGTATTGGGAAGATGGAGGGAATATTTTGAGCAATTGTTAAATGTTGATGAAGATATGGAAGCTGTGATTTCATGTATAGGGCAAGGAGGAATAACATCTTGTAGGATGAAATTAAGACACATGTGCAACATCTGGGTATCTTTATTGTAGAAGTTTCGCCATCCAGTGGCTTTATCAATACAAATTCCAGGACATAACTTGAAGACAGTAGAACTATGTACAGAAGATGAGGTAATCAGTCCCTCAACCTTGGAGTAGGTGCGAAGAGCACCGTAGTCGTGGAGATTCTGAAGCAGAAGCAAGGCGCCTGACGCTTATATACTGACGTCAGGTGGTAATGGGACGGGTAGCAGATGAGGGCATAGTCACTGGTAGGCGGGATTCCCCAGTGGAAGTAGGTCCTTCACGACTACTACTATTACTAACCCATCTCTTTGGGTAGGACCTACTTCCACTGGGGAATTCCGCCTACCAGTGACTATGCCCTCGTCTGCTACCCGTCCCATTACCACCTGACGTCAGTATATAAGCGTCAGGCGCCTTGCTTCTGCTTCAGAATCTCCACGACTACGGTGCTCTTCGCACCTACTCCAAGGTTGAGGGACTGATTACCTCATCTTCTGTACATAGTTCTACTGTCTTCAAGTTATGTCCTGGAATTTGTATTGATAAAGCCACTGGATGGCGAAACTTCTACAGTAAAGATACCCAGATGTTGCACGTGTCTTAATTTCATCTCAACATCTTGTAGGAGTGAGGAAGAGCCAGTTCTGAGTGTGGGGGAAGTTCCTGAGGCAGTAGGTAAAATGAAAGGGGGTAAGGCAGCTGGGATTGATGGGATAAAGATAGAAATGTTAAAAGCAGGTGGGGATATAGTTTTGGAGTGGTTGGTGCTATTATTTAATAAATGTATGGAAGAGGGTAAGGTACCTAGGGATTAATCATACCCCCGGCCGGGATTGAACCCGCGGTCATAGAGTCTCAAAACTCCAGCCCGTCGCGTTAGCCACTAGACCAGCTAGCCACAATAAGATTCATCCAACTAGGTATATTTCTACACCATAGGAAAGTTAGCACAGGCACCTCTGTGACCACAAATGCAAGTTTTTACAGACGAATCTCCAGCTAGGGATTGTCAGAGAGCATGCATAGTTCCTTTGTATAAAGGCAAAGGGGACAAAAGAGAGTGCAAAAATTATAGGGGGATAAGTCTGTTGAGTATACCTGGTAAAGTGTATGGTAGTTATTATTGAAAGAATTAAGAGTATGACGGAGAATAGGATAGCAGATGAACAAGGAGGCTTTAGGAAAGGTAGGGGGTGTGTGGATCAGGTGTTTACAGTGAAACATATAAGTGAACAGTATTTAGATAAGGCTGAAGAGGTTTTTGTGGCATTTATGGATTTGGAAAAGGCGAATGACAGGGTGGATAGGGGGGCAATGTGGCAGATGTTGCAGGTGTATGGTATAGGAGGTAGGTTACTGAAAGCAGTGAAGAGTTTTAACAAGGATAGTGAGGCTCAAGTTAGAGTATGTAGGAAAGAGGGAGATTATTTCCCAGTAAAAGTAGGCCTTAGACTAGGATGTGTGATGTCACCGTGGTTGTTTAATATATTTATAGATGGGGTTGTAAGAGAAGTAAATGCGAGGGTCTTGGCAAGAGGCGTGGAGTTAAAAGATAAAGAATCACACATAAAGTAGGAGTTGT